AATTATATATTATGACGGCGTCAGGGGGAGCAGCCGTGTGTAGATTTTCTTTGCTGCCGATAGTGCTAAGCGAACTACGTAAACGTCCTAGAGCATGCCGACCACGCGTCGCGTGCAACCCTTATTTAAAGGACATATCAACGAAAACTATAAATGGTGCGGACGGATCGGGTCGTGACGTTCGACCGATCTTTGTGCCTGTCTCTGGTTGCTGAGGTCCACGTTCTGTTAGTAAGACGGCTTCGTTCGCAATTTTATACCAAATAAAGAAAGATGCTTCCTATAGGTATGTTACTTAATTTATCATACTGTGTTTAATGACGCCATTGCGACACGTGTCCACTGATCACGCAGTACCAGGAGTCTTATGATATTTACTATAATAATATAGACTATAATAATTATATATACTTTAATAGACACGAAAACTTTGGCCCCGTACAAGCACTAAATCTCCATGCTTATCTAGACGCACGAGGCACTCACCTATATTAATGCGCAAATACTTGCTGCGTACTTTGAGCGCGCCGATCATTTTACCGCATAAAAAAATTAAAAAGAAGACCTTTTTTCAGAGACGAAATAGGCGGATGGCTACTGTTATATGCATAGAAAATGTAGAGACGCATCAGGTCTCCTATCTTGTGATCATATATGGTATGTTTTCGGGGTGGTTTTATGCGTGTGTATGCCACCTTTACAATGGACTGCTTACGTCATAGGACGTTTATTGTTGGTACATGAACACCTGCGTTCGCTTCTGTGTTGTCTTTTTATTTCTGTGGGTCGCAGTGAAATGACGTACGATGTGAAACGCGAGGGCCGTGTCTGATCGCCGCCGGATAGGCCGGCGGAATTCGCAAAGCGTCGTCAAATTTTAATGACAAGCGACATGTGAATATTAGATGTTGATCCATTAACGAGTCCTAGACGCGGTAGCGCCGGGCCGGCTCTATCAATCTATACGGCGCATGTTGTGTGTGTGCGTCGGCAGTGGGGGGTGTGGTGTGCTGCTGTGTGTGCGCCAACTGTGCTCGTGTGTGGTGTCGTGTGTGGCTGGTGTAGGTTTTGTTTGTGGTCTTTTTTTGTTGTTTGTGTTGGTTTTGTCTGCTTTTTCTCTCTCTTTTTGTGTGTTGTGGGTGTTCGTGTGCTTTGTGTTGCGTGTGCGTTGTGCGTTGTCGTGTGGTGTGTGTTTTTTTTTTGTTGTTTTTTTTTTTTTTTTTTTTTTTTTTTTTTTTTTTTTTGTGTCTTTGTTTTTTTTTTTTTTTGTTTTTTGTTTGTGGTGGTTTTTTTTTTTTTTTGTGTTTTTGGTTGTGTGCGCTTGTTTTTTTTTGGGGGTGTGTGTTGTGTGTGGGTGTTTCCATTGGGGTGTTTCGGTGCGTGGTGCGTGTATATGTGTGTGTGTGTGTCGTGTGTGTGTCTGATCCGTGTGTGTGGCGCATTGTACCTGGCAGGTAAGGATACTGCCACTGTGTGACTGACGACACACATCAATACTATACTAGAGAGGATCAATACCATAGACTGCACGCATAGAGGGAGGAATCAGTACTATATAGAGTGAGGGTCGTAGAGGAGGTGCCCCCGGCTTTAGTTTGTTCTGATTGATGACTTTTGTCTTCTTTAAGGACGTAACTGCAACAGCGAAGACATCTTGATTACACGTCACCCGCCCTAGAGGTTGCAATCCACCATCGTCAGCGTCGTCACAGCCACCCAGCATTGTCAACGGCGTTATAGCCACCCAGCATCCTCAACGTCTGTAACAGCCACTCAGCATCGTCAACGTCGTCACAGCCACCAGCCATCGTCAGCATCGCCACAGCCACCCGCCATCGTCAACGTCGTCACAGCCACCCGCCATCGTCAACGTCGTCGCAGGTAGCCGCGCGTGACGATGCAGACCAATCAGAGACCAGCATCCAGAACCGCTCTCTCCCCGACACCTGGACTTGAACCCACCCTCTCCCCGACACCGGGACTCGAACCCTCTGGGGAGCCCGTGCTACCGCACACGCCCCTACCCTCCCGCTCCAACACCTCCACGCTCGCCCAGCGACCAAAGTCCGCTCAGCCTCCCGACGGCACGCGCGGGGAAGCCCTTCCAGATGCTGCTGCAAGCATCCCACAAGATTCCCCTGGAAGCATCCCTCAGGATTATCCTGGAAGCTTCCCACAGGATGCCGATGGCGATTTCCCAGGGGATGCGACGGGAGGAAGCGAGAGAGCTCCCGTTCCGACCGTCTCTGGCGCGTTGGACGGCCACATCACGCCCAGTAACAGTGACAACCCAGGGACGGGCAAGCGCAAGCAGATGGGCACGCGCATGAGCGTTGTGTTGCTGATCATGCTCGGATGTCTGACCGCGTCCGTCGGTGGCTTTCTCCTACCGATTCCCGACGAACCGACCATCACCATCGTCGGCGGCGTCCTGCTAGCCGCGGGGCTGGTGATGTTCGGCGTGGGGCTCGCGACGTCCCTCACCTGCTGCCGTCCGACGACCGCTCCGGATTACATCTACAAGATGCTCACCGGACAGATACAAGTCGTCGCCGTCGACGCGGAGCGGAAACGGAAGCGGAAGAAGAAGAAGAACAAGAAGGACACGACGATGGCGGTGATCGTCGGCGGCAGCCACAAGGTGGAGCCACCCGAGCGTCCGCTGCTGTCCGCCGACAGCTCGTCGGGAGCCTCGTCGGTGACGTCACTCGACGCGGCCGCGCAGGGTCGCGGCGAGAAGCGGCACGCCGGTGGGGGCGCCACTGAGCGCTCTCGCCACCAGGTGGCGCCGCTGCGGCGGGGGAGGTCGCAACTGAACCTTACTCCGTCGGCAATACACGCGAATATTATGGCAGAGACCGAGGCATAGGCAATATCGCCAATGGCAATGACGAGAGAGATGGCAATGTCGAGAGAGATGGCAATGACGAGAGAGATGGCAATGAATATAGATAACAATGTTGTCAGTGACAATGATAGCAATGGTGGCAATCGTGATAGATGGCAATTCCCAATTGTAATGGAAATGCCTAGGGATGGCAGCGATGGCAATAGTGGTGATGCGATGACAATAGTGGCAATAACAATAATAAGGGAGATGGCAATGATAATAGATGGCATCGGTGGCAATGACAATGATAAGAGATGGCAACAACGGCAATGCTGGCAACCATGAGAGATGGCAACGACGGCAATGGTGGCAATAGATGATTCCGCTGTTGATGGAGACAGCCATCAACGCTAACCCCGACAAACAATAATAACCAATGCCTCGATGCACTCTACAAATGCTGGTAATGATGATATTAATGACACTAATTACGAAAGATGGCGCTGGCAAACGACGACAGCTCCTGGCAGTGACGTCACTAAATTAAGATAGTCGCTATCAGCTATTAACTAGTTAGCTATAACTATAAGCTATCAGCTAGTCAGCTATAACTGTATATTAGTTATAAGCTATCAGCTTTAAGCTATCATAAATAAACGAGCGCACGCAAATACGCGTGAATTCAGAGTCTGAAGATGGGTTCCATCATTTACACCCGGATCACTATTTCCTTCTATCGTATTCCTCGGCACCTCTTAACCACCCAAAGGAAGCTAATATATAACATCAGGAGCTAATAATGACAAATTTGTCATTATTAGCTCCTGATAACATACATATACGGCTGCTTGCCGCAAAGACTCACCCACCCAATCACGCACGCGTGATTGTGAGTAAAATTAAAAACATATCTGGTTATCTTACTATACTCCTATGTGATATTATCACAGAATATAGAAGGCGGCTTATCCTTGTGAGATTTTTACTGAATGAATTGAAAGCAGCCATTGTTAGGTCCCATCTCGTTATACTGAAAGAGTATATTATTTTTATTAAAGGCGAGTGTGCGTGCGTGCATGCGTGTGCTTCGAAAAATATGCATGTTTGTTGAATTGTAAAATAGGAAAATTTAATTAATTTATATTTTCACTAATCACTGTAACCTAATGTGTGGAACAAGTTACGCTATTATCCGTGAAAAAGACGTTCAACCTTTCAAGGGCATTCCATCACGTCTGCTCACGGCTGTGATAAAAAAGGTCATTGCCTATAAGACCACTCTGGCGAAAAATTACACCACTTTCTTAACGTTTCTGTTCTGTTTGATGCACGTTTATTTCATTCGACTGCTTCGCGACTCCCGTGAATGTTTTCACGTTCAGTATCATCACGCTAGCTCTCCGTGATTTATGTATGCTCTCACAGTACACCCTATCCGCTACGCGTATTATAAATAACATAATAAATTATACATATATATATATATATATCAGGAGTAGATAGTAGGGAATTACCTATTATCTACTCCTGATATATATTCATGTGCGTACGTGCGTGCGTGCGTGCGCGCGTGCGTGTTTGTACGTACGTGAGAGTACGTGCGTATGACTTACCACAAAGGCCGTCGGAACAGAAGTTGGCGGTGCCCGAACACTTTGAGCAAGGCAGACCGGGCTTGTACGATACGCTATTCACATATAACCTAAAAGTAGAAATAGCGAAAGTCGGTGTGGGAAATACAGCGGGAGCGAGAATGAGATAAATATATAGATGGTTAGAAAGGGAAAAGGAGAGAGAGAGAGAAAGATCTAATGGATCAGAGAGAGAAAGAGAAATATATATATATATATATATATATAAATTGTAGTCTGTAGAT